TAAGAATAGGAGGTAGGAATTGGCTAGGCAGTTAGGGTAAAAAGACCCCAAAGAAAAGTAGCCAGTTTCTTGGCTAAAACTCACAGTGTTCTTGGGCCTCTTAGCAACTTACTCCCTTCCAAAGGCCAAAAATGTCGAAAGTATTTGGGAGCTTGTATCTAATCCTTAAAATATTTTAAGTTACTCTTCAGAGTAGGGAATGTTAGAGTAGCCAAAAGCCCCATAAAAAAAAAAAAAAAAATCAAAGAAGAGAAAGATAACAAGCTATCAGGAAAAAAGTGATGGGGAGATATGGAAGGAGTTGGAGGGGAGGGAGTAGGCATGGATTTGATCAAAACACCTTATATGCATGTATGAAATTCTCAATAAATTATTTGTTTAAAAAAAAAAAAGTCCACTGCATGAAAGACCAGAAACATATCAGCACAGCAGGAATACAGCTGACTGAATTCATTTTGACTTCTTAAGCATTCCAAAACGATAGTGAACTGCCTTTATTATTCCTGTTTCTTTCAAACTGCCTAATGCTAAATTGTGAGTCCATCTATATTTATTACCTGAAAAGCTCATTTTAGTCCAGATTAGACTTTCAAATAGTATCACAAATAGGAATATTATTTGTAAAACAATGTTTCTTAAAACTACTTTTCCTTGACTAGAGATGTTCCATCTCCTCAGCTAAGGTACAGCTACAAATATTGAATGTATTCTTGGTGTGGCTCTAACTCAGCAGGGTACTTCACCATGATTCAATATCTTTTAGGCATCGGGTACCCAAATGAAGAAATCAAATTCCTCTCACCCCCAGTAATAGGGATTGAACCCAGGACCTTATACATGCTAGACAAATGTTCTCCCACTGAGCTATACCCTCAGCCTCGTCATCAACTGTACAACTGATAACATGTAGATAATCCTAGGAAGTATTCAAGGAATACTTTTCTTTTACTAGGACACTGTATGTCAGTCACTAAAACGCTAATTCATTTAAGAAAGAAGAAAAGTTAACATACACAAACACCTTTTAATTTCTTGTTTCACAAAAGGAGGCATTTGCACCCCTTCTACATACATTTAGTGAAGAAGCTATAGGGTCTGTACTGCTGGCCCAGCAAGACACTGGAAGAAGAAATGCGGCACTGTGTCTGTAGCGCATGGCTCAAAATGCCAAGGTGGTGGCTGTGTCTTGCTTCCTTGGGTGACAAAGCACCTGCAAAGAGATAGAATAAAACATTGAGTTAGACGCCCTATGGCTGTAAAAAAAAAAAACACTGCCAACACCAAATAATCATTACTAATAAAAGTAAGTCACTAGGGCTGGAGATATGGCTCAGCAGGTAAGGGTGCTTGCTGCCAAGCCTGGCAACCTGAATACAATCTCTAGACACATGATAGAAGGAGAGAATTGATTCCTGCAAGCTGTCATCTGACCTCCACATGAAAACTATGGAACAAGTACACACACACACACACACACACACACACACACTCACTCTCTCTCTCTCTCTAAATAAATAAATAAATAATAAATAAATAAATTTAACAAAAAAGCTTTAAGTCACTAAACTAATTGACCTTTTAAGAATCATATTTTGGGAGTTGGAGAGATGGCTCAGTGGTTAAGAGCACTGACTGCTCTTGCAAAGAACCCGGATTCAATTCCTAGCACCCACATGGTGGCTACGAACTGTCCTTAACTCCAGTTCCAGGGGAATTCAACGACCTCCATGGCATCGCACAACACGGGTGCACTCATATACATGCAGGCAATACACTCACACACATAAAATAAAAAAATAAATATATTTTAAAAAATCATATTTTGAGGCCGGCCATGGTAGTGCACACCTTTAGTCCCAGCACTCAGGAGGCAGCGGGAGGGGGATCTCTGTGAGTTCAAGGCCAGCCTGGTCTACATAGTGAGTTCTAGACCAGCTGGGGCTACAGGGAGACCCTGTCTCAAAAAGACCAAAAAAAAAAAAAATCATATTTTGAGGGACTAGAGAGGTGATTTATCAGTTAAGAGCACTGACTGCTCTTGCAGAGGATCTGGGTTTGATTCCTAGCACCCATGTGGCAGCTAGCACTTATCTGTGAGTCCAGTTCCAGGGGAATCAGACACTCTCTTCTGACCTCTGTGGGCACTGTACAACATGGGTGCAGTTAGATACATGCAGGCAATACATTCATACACATAAAATTTTTAAAAATACAAAATAAAATTTTTGAAAAAGAATCACATTTTAAAACATAAAACAAAACTTTGAATTGGACACAGCCTAAATGACCAGCCTAATTTAAAGAAGTTACAGTTCCTCCACACAATGACATAGCATCTAAGGAAAGAAGCAGATCTGTCAGCACCCAGTTTCTCCCCTGTAAGTACCCACATCAAGCTCACAGCTTACTGTGGGCAAACCATGCCCTCTGCTTTATGCAGCCAGGGAATGTGGACCAACATGCCAATGACCCTGAGGAACAACAAAGTGCCAGAGTATCCTGTCTCATACTGAAAAACAAAGAAGGTGTGTCTGAAAATACTTCATAGACTCCAGAAGTACATATATGAAACAGGTACTTACAGTTGCCTCTAGTGGAAAAAACTGGTAAAACTAGATATAAAAGTTTGGCTTCTATATTTTCTGGTAGATTTTTTTTTTGCCACGCACATCTCACACATACACATATATACCTCTGGTATTAAAATCAAATCCAGGGCTTCATGCATGTCAGGCAAGTGCTCTACCACCTATCCCTGCACGTAACACTTAAATGTTATGACGGCCACATGTTAGAAGTAGCTACCTGACCCAATTCCAAAGATGATGATGTCGAAGGAGGAGAAGGGCAGGTAGGAAAGGAACCAGTAGATGCAGGAACCAAGAATGCTGCACTTAATTCTTAAGCTTTGTATTTTACTAGTGAAGTGAGGAAGGAGACTAAAACTGCCTGTGAGAGCAAAAAGAATCTTAAGAGCCTGGGACTTGAAAACAGAAAACTACAGTGACAATAGCAATTTTCAAGCCTAAGCAAGATTATGAAGATGATGGTAACAGATGCCAGAAACAACCTTAAATGGTAATAAGAATTTGGTTAAGAATAACAGAAACAGGGCTGAGGGTATAGCTTAGTTAGTAGCATGCATGAAGCCCTAAGTTTGGTCCCTAGCATATGTAAACCAGGTGTGGTAGCACACACCTATAATCCTAGCACTCAAGAGGTAGAGGCAGGAGGATCAGAAATTCAAGGTCATCCTTGGCTATACAATGAGTTTGAGGCCAGCCTGGGCTATATGAGACCCCATCTCAAAATGAAAAACAGGAAGGGAAGAGATGTATCAGTGGTTAAAAGCTCTTGCTACTCTTGCAGAAGCCTGGGGTTCAGGTCCCAGCACCCAATTGGCAACTCACAACCATCTGTAACTCCAGTTCCAGCAGATCCAATGCCCTTTTCAGAATTCCACAGGCACTGCACTTATACACTTGCAGGCAAAACTCTCATACACATAAAATAAAAAGAAAAAAGAAAAACAAGGGAACCAGTCATGTTAAAGGGATACAGTAAGCTGCCAAAATATCTCTATAGCATACAATGAAAAATAAAGGGATAACTTTGACGACTAGAG